CGTAAACTTAATTTGGTGCAAATCGGTTGACTAAAATTTTTGTCCGCCATCTTCGTCCGCCATCTTGAAAATTTTAAAACAGCCAAAGTTATATCTGAACGTAAAATTTTCCGCTTTTTCATTTTCCGGTGTCAAAAAGGGGGGTTTCCATTTTAAAAAAACCACTTCCGGTTGAAGTAACCCACTTTCGGTCAAAATCAAAAGTTGAAAGGTACGCCATTTTGGTTCCCCCTCGAAACCCTACAACTTTTATATGAAACTTTTTTCAATTCCTGGCCACACAAACGAGTTATTGGAGGTGATATATTCAGATGACTCACCCTGTATATAGATAGCGGTAGCGATGCGATAACCAAATATAGATATGGTGTTTGTCTCGCTTTTAGCAGATACAACATGTCGATGTCTAATGTCAGTAATGACCACAGTTAATAACATGTGTACGTACGTCGATGTATCTTATCGAGTTACTCGGAGAGAGGTAATCTTCGTAATCGCGTACATACACGCGCGCGCACGATACACACACGTTGCACATGGTGCGCATGTGTGCATGCATTTGCGTGGGAGTGATCAAACCATGTGTTTTTCGTAACTCTTAATAACATGATATATACGCCCACGTGTGTGCCAGCACACATTATCCTGCACAAGGCGCTCTGGCGCGACGTCAATGCGTTCGTTCAATACGCGACTGAATGTTCACTTGTTCCGGCTATCTCAAAATCCAATGTCAACTTGATAAAAGTGTATTTACGTGGCAATGTTGCCGAATAACGGCCTGTCTCATTACGTCACCTTTGTCAACCATCACGGCTTATCCGGGACACATGCCGAGGAGGGGAGGCGCGGTATCAGGGAGGAGAGGAAGAAGCGGGAAAGAGAATTCTCAAGGTCATCAATAGGTTAATTCGAAAGTCTCACGATAAGAACATTGATTTCTTACTTCAGCCGAAGGGGGAATTTCGAATTTTTCCGAGGCTCCAGCCGCGGGTGCGTTTATTTCGGGACACGGTGTATATGAGCACACTGAAGATACACACACATGTGCACGCGCGTGTACGATCATAACACATCCGAGGAGTGTCTTTGAGTTCGATGCTAGTGACCATATGACATTCGTGGCCGGGATGCGACAGTGAACGGCGGCGATTCCTCGGCTCGCTCTCGCTCGGAAGTGTCAACGCGAATGGAACGCTGCTGTTCGACCGCTGCAATTCGCCGTGATCCGTGACACGATTCGTACGAGCGAGGGCACACGCGGCCGTGCTAAATTTACATTCCTATCGTCGTGGGGCCGCTTCAACGTGCTGTGGTCTTCTGGTTTCGCCGTGGTTTTCCGTTACGCGTACGCGCATCGACGTTCGTTGCGTGTCGTTGCGTTACCGCGAATAGTTTCTCGTGATAAGTAGCTATATGATCGTTATATAATTTAATTCATTTCAATTTCAAGGGCGGAGAAAAGAGAGAGAGAGAGAGAGAGAGAGAGAGAGAGAGAGAGAGAGAGAGAAAGAGGAAGAAGAGCGAATGCATAAATTTTACTGAATATATAAACGATGCACTTGACTCACCGTTATCAGTAATTACCGTATTATTTGCGGTGTATTGAACAGCGCATGACGGCGCGAGTTCTACATAGTCTAGTGGTCGGTTACGTATCCACTTTTCGATTTCGTTTCGTCCTCTCGGAGTTCGATTCTCGCGCTGCTATACGTGAAGAGGTAACCGCAGGATTGGACTGTTCATTGGTTACTTTAAATATAAGTATCGAAAAAAACTGAGGTATCCTAACGAATACTTAGAATCTAGATATGCGTTGAGTATCGAATGTGTAATTTGGTTTCCATGTATGTCCCATTTTTCCACCTGTGCATTATCTGTCTGTATTAAATGTCTGTTGTCATTATCGCCCACTAGTCATCGTGTGTCCGGCATCGCGTGACGATGTGCCAATAATTTGCGCTGCAATTAGCTAATTCAGCACTCGTCCCGACATGTACTTTTTAAAACGAACAGTCATCGCACACAGCCATCAGCGCGCGTCATTTTTTAAGAGCACTTTTTGGCGTCGGAAGTGGCCCCTTTTAATCGCGCTAATTTCGTGTGTTATTCTTGTGGTGACACTCGTGAGAGTCTCGATCGTCCGTGAAACAAACACGCCGAAACGTGACACGTATCTGGACGACGTGGCCGAAGATTTTTATCGAGAAGGTGAGCACTCTTTCCGAATATTCATTTGTTTCCCACGTGAGACAATATCTTATCTCAAAAAAAAAATAATAACAGATTCTATCATTTACAGTATTGCGCAAGTGGTACAATTTCTCCGATGGTAAGTGGCTCTAATTGACCGACAAATTTATTAAAATTCGTGAACAACAGTCTGCAAAACGAAATATAAACGACGTACTTTTGTGCTGCTAGTAATTGCCGTGAATCATGCTATCAATGTAAATTATAATGTATTAAGTAAATGAACGACGGACTATTACAAATTCCTAAAGTCCACACGTGTTTAAACGTCGCGTCACTCGATTCCACGTGATATCCGTGCAGATTGGTCTTGGCGCTACGAAGAATGAAATTAATCTGTAGTAAATGAGCGGAATGTATTACTCAGGTAAGAAATGGTACAACGGGATGAACATGTCCACGCTGAGCCCGCAACTCTTTCGTCAGGTGTTGACGGATATTCGGCAAAACTGGTTGATATGGAACCACGATCCCAACGAGTTATACGTCCTTCAAGAACCGAACGTGGAAGACCCGTCGATGGGGCAATCGGCCGAGATCCGCAAGATATTTGAGGATAAGGTAGTAAAACAAATAATGACAAAAGTCCCGCGAAGAGTAGTCGCGAGAAAGCAAGCTCGCTCGCGAAAACGAACTCTACTCGGCGGTTAGACCGAAATATAGCAGCGCCGCTGCAACACACGATCGACTCGTATGAATACGTCAATAAACAGCGTTTTGATTGCTCTCTACAGAAAAATGGGTTTTTCATAGAATGCGGTGCGTATGACGGCGAGACGCGCAGCAACACGTTGTACTTGGAGCGATTTAGGGAATGGTCCGGCCTTCTGATAGAAGCGGATCCCATCAATTTCACGAAAATGCTGCAGAAGAACAGACGGGCTCACCTTTCGCCGACATGTCTCAGCATCACCAAGAGTCCCGCGCTGGTAAGGAAATCGATGATTACTCGTCATCGTTAGCAGTGGCTCTTGGCGGAGAGAGTGTTACGGTATCGGTAACTCGAACTCTCATTTATGACGTGCATAGTTAGACCGTCCTCGTCTCGTCGGCACCTTACCCGCGGGGGCGACAAAGAGTGACGGGGAGATGTGACGAGCTCGTTGTAATTTACAGGCATCCTTTCTCATGGCGAGAAACTTGGGGCGTCTGCACGCGCCCGAGAACACGACGGGGGATGTACCGACGAACACGGCCGACGTGGCATACACCGGGGAGCACATTCACGTGCAGTGCTTCCCATTGACACTTTATATCGCCGCCTTGGGAATCAAGACGGTCGATTACTTCAGCCTCGATGTCGAAGGCAACGAGATCGAGATCTTGGAGACAATCCCGTTTAACGAGGTGGATATAAAGGCACGTGTACACACGATCCGTTTCGAATTTCCGTTCGCGTTTGCGTTCTCTCTCTATCTCCTTTCCTCTCTCTTTCTCTCTTCTCTCTCTTCCCCTCTCTTTCTTTCTCTCTCTCTCTCTCTCTCTCTCTCTCTCTCTCGCTGGAAAATTGAATTTTAACGCGTTAATTGTAAGACATACTATATAAACGCGTGAGTATATGTGTGTGTATTTTTAGGCTCTCTCCGTGGAATACATACACAATGCAAAGGGACAACAGTACATGATCGATTTGATGAACAGGCAAGGATATTACGTTCACAGCTTTGTGAAGCAAGAGCACAACTTGGCGAACGATATCATTTTTGTCAAACGCGACACGTTACGAAATACTGTGCGCGCATAGGCGTGGTCGTTGACGTTCACTGAGAACTTCCTCTTTCGGTGGATGAAACACTGAACAGCGAATACCTAATTGTAAATCTCCGCACAAGTCCATACCGGACGTTTCTACCTCTCGTATTTTTACACGAATACAGCTAAACGCATAAATTTCCAGTCTTTGACTTGGAGAAAGGAACTTTATTAGTTGATTTTACTTTTTATTTGAAATTTTTCTCATTGCCTCCTTGCGTTAAAGGCTGAGGTTTCTCGCACCGCAAGTTCTAAGATTAATTTCTCTGTTGAGAAAAGGGAGCTCAAAGTACTTTAATTTATCTTCAGATGAGTCGTCCAGGTTTTTAAACTGCTAGTCATAGTTATATATTTAGCCGCAATTGGAGAAAATGTCCGCGTTGCAGACGCAAGGAAATCACTCGGGATTGTTAATGAAAACATTTTATTATTATACATATTTACAAAACCATATACACTCTTTTAATAAAATAAAGCACCTGTCGCTATTCGCGATCTACTCGCCTCTATAGAAAACGTAACGACAAATCGCAACAATACTTTAATAACCGTAAATAATAAACAAGCGTTAACGGTGTTGCACAGGAACTTGCGACATGGCACATTGTACGTAATTTCGATTTTATCGACACGACAATTCAAAGCTCTTTTGTAAAATCGGAACAACTTCAGTATTTTGATAAACACGTTCGAATCATTCGGGCACATGCCCGAATTTGTACGTCTCTCAGCCTCTTTTTTAATAAAATATCTACGTAGAAAAGGAGAGAAATGGCCTTCGAAGACACATTTAACTAACGCCTCCGCAAACTTTCGAACCGGCGACTCGTTCCTTGAATCAAATTTAGCCGTTGGTCCAACGGACAAAAACCGTTCACCGCTCACATACTTCTAAGTCAGACTTTATTAGAGAAAATGCAGTCGATGTCGAGAGACGCGAACATTACGAGGGATTCGATGTGAGCGTTTCGATGAACATTTTCACGTGCGAAAACTTGCCGAGTCTCGTCGAATGCTCCGCGGCGCGATCCGTCGTTTTTCGTGTTGGCGCGCGGCAGTCTCGTAGGAAAATCGAGCAAAAAATTCGCACGCGTTTGCAAACTCCTCTAGCTACGTGCTCGTTACAGAGTGCCTCTTCTCAGACGTCAGCGTAGAAAATACCTACCGTAATACCTACCACATTCGATAACAAGATGCCGGTATAATGCAACCGAGTCCTGACTTATGTACAAAACTTGCGATTTCCCTTTCACTTTTGCGTCGACCTAACGATATCTCGCCTCTGCCGTCGAGTTTTCTCGCTGATTCCGTCGGCGGAATAGCGAGTTTCTGACCCCTAAAATACAACAGAACGACTCTCAATGCCTATTAGTGCGCTAAGAAGCGAAATAAAGAGAAATCGCTAGCAATAAATTCGCATTGCCTCTTGCTTGTCTCATATTTCGCCCTTTCTCGTTTACGCATAATCCGCTTGATTAAGTGTCTCTATTAACTTTATCACGGTTTAAGCATCTTTGTGGAACAAAAAGATTTGCGCATGAAAACTTATCACTTCTCCTACGCATTCGAGGAATCAAGAAAATCACGATCTTGCCTCACAGCGCGAATATCTAATACAATTATTATACTCTAAACTCTCTCTCTCTCTTTCTCGTTTAGACTGATGAATCGTGTCTAAGCTCTAACACTGCCATAGTAACATTCAGTAAACATTTAACAGTTATCAATCGCTACGGGATCTTTGCGTATATTAGTGATTTCGTATCAGTGAATCATCGTTTGTGAGAATATTGTCATAACAACGAATAAAAATCCAGCGCTGCTTCTTCTGGCTTCTGCGCTCTCTTAAAGTGGATCAGTAAAAATTAATCAGATTGAATCAGTAGCAGCACCGATAATCAATGCACAGAAAAGACGGTACGATTGGCCCATATATAAATCTGGTTGTGCCAGCTAGATTCAATAGTAAAAAACGGCAATAGTAAATACGGAACAACTAATTAGATAGTTGCTGGAACCACAGAACAATTGCTAAGTTACTGACGTTGCAGCAGTGATAACATCTGGTCGTTTGAACTTGAGTGTATTCATGGTAAATGTCACCCTAAACTCGATTTCTAGTTGCTAGATCACACTTAGCTACATTGACATTGATAGATGTACCAAAGTAACTGAATTATATCGACATATACATTACTATCACATAAATATAACTAGGGTGACACGACTATGTTACTCACAATTAAATATACCCGGTTTATATCTTTTCTTTCCATGTATTAGGTGTACAACTTTGCTTCCGCCGTTCTCCTATAAATGGCTTTAGCGGTAAGTGGTGGTCGAAATAAATAGATCATAAACGTCATACAATAAACTTGGGCATCTGTCAACATAACCCCATAGAAACATTAGTCGATTTGTGTCTGCATCATAAAGTTATTCTCGATTGAAAATGTCAGTTTACGAGCCAAATTCTCGTCATTTGCGGGAGGTTTTAATTTTCTGCTTCAATATGAAGAAATCTGCGGCTGAGGCTCATCGAATACTTATAGTGATGTCGCTATTAGTGAAAGAACGTGTCGTGAGTGGTTTCAACGCTTCAAGAAC